CAGCTGGCTGAGGAATTCTGGGAGTTGAAGTCCACAAGTCTTAAAGTTGCCAAGGTTGGACACCCCTGGTTTAATGCATGCTTTCAATTTCAGAAGAAACTTTCAGATCTTATGGAAACACACAAGAATACCTGCCATAGCATTTATTTATTTCTCTGTCATCATGCAACTGAAAGCCAAGCTGTCATATTCTGATACAACTGCACACATTATGGAAGATGAACTTTTATGAAATTAATATTGTTGCCAGTCCCTTATATTTATTTATTTTTTAACGATAAAAACACAAGTTAAACTTTTGGCTCAAAAGTTTAACTGGACTACAAATTTTGCATTAGTTCAAAGTGTTTTACCTCCATTATCAGATTGTATTTTAAGAGCTGGACCTCGGTAAATTGCCTGCAGTAAATCCCAATCTAAGGGTGGGGAAAGGGCCTGCCAGAAACTATAAAGCTGCTGTCAGTTACTATCAACAGTACAAGGTTAGATAAATTAATGATTTTCGTGAAAAGAATATCCTTCATTTCTCCATATAACAACAGCCATGCTTGGTAGAGTCAGAAACACTTGTGGAGTAATTGGGGACTGAGACTGATAGAACACCAGTAGTTCTCATTATACAATCACAATTAAGCCCAAAATTTTTGTTCCTAAGTTAGATAATTAAGTGAGTTTTGCCCCATTTCCTGACCTTTCTTGCCACAGTTGTTAAGTGAATCACTGCAGTTGTAAAGTTGCAACATGGCTGTTAAGTGAATCTGGCTTCCCCATTGATTTTGTTTGTTGGAAGGTAGCAAAAGGTAAACACATGGCTCAAGGACTCTGTAACTGTCGTAAATATGAACCAGTTGCCAAGCATCTGGATTTTGATCATGTGACTATGGGGATGCTGCAAAGGTTGTAAGACTGAAAAATTGCCATAAGTCACTTTTTTCAGTGTCATTATAACTTTGAATGGTCACTAAATGAATGGTTGTATGTCGAGAACTATCTGTAATAAGCCTAATAAATTCATAGGAAAAGTGAAGATTTGTAGCTGGGTCTGAGAGCTTTCTGTATTGCAGGTCCAACACTTTAGTATACTTTGGTTCAAATGGAATAGCTTGGCTTTCTATAATTTTCACGTCCATGAAAGACTTATTTATTTTTGATTTATCCTTATATGTCTTACAATGCTGACTTTTTTAGTATTTAAAACATTTTGTTGAAAATGCCAATGGAAAATATCAAGCAAATAATTTGTAACTGTATCTTAAGTTTATAAATGTGTTTCCCTGAAAATAAAACCTATCTCAAAAGTAACCGCTAGCTTGATTTTTACATGCGCAGTCAATATAAACCTTACCCCCGCAGTAAGCCCTAGTTAAGACTTCAGGAAAGGTCTCTGCAGCCAATTACAGAACTCTGGATTGGAGCAGAGAAAGGAGCAGAGAGCTGGCAGAGCTCTACTAGTAGGCTATCTGTACTAGTGATATTCTTAGTTGAAGCACTAAATTGTGGGTTTTTTTTATACTTTAGGCAAACATTTTAAAAAAATCTCTCAGAAATAACAGCATCTTGGCCCTCTTGGCAATGGCTGGGAATTGATCAGATATGATTGCTTCCCATTTTACTGACCATCTATGACTATGCCTTGCTGGTGGATGTAGAAAATATTTTCCGTAGCAGCTGATTTGGTGAGTTGTTTTATACAAACATAGTTTGTACCTCATCTACAATCAAGTAATTATTCATCTAGAAAGTGTTTATTAATTGAGACCACACTTTATGTATCAATTTATTCAATACACAGAAAAGTATTACCATTACCAATTGCTTCATAGAGAAAATAACTTCAGGCACTTGTGAATGGGAAGTAGGTTTGTTTTTAAAAGTCTCTATAACTTGATAGAACTTTGGTCTTTTTTTTTAAACCTTGTCTAGCTAGAGTCTAGCCAATATATTCTAATATATGAATGTCATGTTCTTCTGGAAGTTTCTGTACTATGGGGCACTGTGAATAATTAAGCAAATTTGTAACATATGAAACTGAACAAAGTCATTATGTGCTGCACAGAATTTAGAGTGGCCGTACTAAAAATGTTTTTGGAGCTTTGAAACACAAGTATAATGGACAGCCATCTTAAACTCTTGTGGTAAACTGAATTTATTATTGAATGATATCATTTAATTTTTGATAAATACAATTTGAAATTTCTCAGCATTAATAATGTGAGAATATTTATTCCTTTATTGAGCTATATTATACTTTCCCCCCAAAGTATTAGCTCAGGCGTGTCAAATTCTTATTTCATTGAGGGCCACATCAGGGTTGCGTTTGACCTTGGGGGCCAGGAGGGCATGGTCAGGGTGGGCATAGCCAGCTTGACATCACTCATGTCAGGAGCATCTGTGGTGGCCAAGAGGCTCTGCCAGTGAAAACGGAGCTTGGGAGGCTGCAGTGGCCTCTGCAACCCTCGGACAGCAAAAATGGAGCTCGGGAGGACCTTGTGCGGCCCTCCTGAGCTCCATTTTCACTGTCCGAGGGTTGCAGGGGGTGTTGCAGCCTCCCGAGGTCTGTTTTCACTGGCAGAGAAACTGCAGGCTGGTGCTTCACTGTTTCTAGGGTGGTCTTGCTGGCTAGATATGAGCACCCCATGGGCTGGATCCAGCCCCCTGGCCTTGAGTTTGATACCCCTGTATTAGCTGATATGATGCCTTGAAACCAAAGGAGAGACAGAACAAACAGACCAGATTGTATGAATCAGAAAGCCCTCAAATTTTCTTTAATGTTGCACATTTAAAAAAAAAACAGTTTTGGGGATTTCAAGCTGATTCAGATCAAGATTTGTGTGTGATGAAGCTTCATTCCTAGGTAATTAAAACTGTGCTTAGCACTTTTGAAAAATTGGGTCCGTAAATTTTTCAAGACTGCATACTCTGATTTCTTACCACAAATATATATTTTCCAATATTAGTCTGTGTCATATTTTTAGTTTTGTATGGAATTTTTAATTTTACTTTTGATACAGAATGTTTAGCATCCAAATAACTTCTGTAGCTGCTAAAACATCTGGGCCATATTGTTTTGGTAGCATATGTTTTAATTGTATGTAGTGCCAAGCAATGGTTCAAAGAGATTATATTTAAACTATAATGTCTCAAGATTCTTAAAATAGCTCATACGAAATAATTAATGCAAGGTGTTAATCCTTTGCTTGGTCCAAGTTTTCCAAATAAAACATTTTCACTTCCTCTGTTTTAATTAGGATTATTCCATGATGCTGTTATCTTATGTGAATGTGGGTCAAAGATTAACTGCATCCCAATTAATAAATAAAATTTTAGTAACTTCCAAAGCTGGAAAAATCAGACTTTTCTTCTGAAATCTCACCTGCAAACTTTCCAGAACTTGAAAGGAGTCACACATTGGCTTTTTAAATGAGCCCAAAGGAAGCAATATGCCTTCATTCCGTAATAAAAACCCATTGATAAACCTAAATTAGCCACCATTGTCTTAAGGCAATTTAGCCAAAGTAAATTGAGAGGCCTTGTCCTGCTATAAACTTTTTCTCAATAGTTTATTGCTATGTATTAAATATCTAAATGAAATTAACATCTATGTTCCTTGAAGGTGTACATTACTCTAAATGCTATATACAATTGGATTACATTAATCTTACTCCAGAGGCTCAAAGGTAAATTTAACTGATTTATATCCAATACAATCATATCTATGCATTTAGTTATAATTCAACATATTTTAAGATAGAGAAGGAAATCCATTCCAAGCATTTCCTACAGTTTAGGTAAATTGTAAAATCCAACTTTTGACACTGATTTGTTGGGTTTTTTTTAATCTTAGAGAAAGCAGATTAGATCTTTTTCCAAATAATACTATGCCTTGGATATAAAGCACACTGAACAACTTGGTAAAGATATTAAATATCAAAATCCTCAAAATGTCTTGAATAGAAAGCATGTATTTAGTGCCCACTACAACAGCACATTGATAATATCCTATTATTGTCTAATTTTAAAAAGCCAAAGGTTTTAGAAACAATTGAAAATTAAAGAGGACAAGGGGAAACTCTAATAAATTGATTAATAGGCATAAAAAACAAGTACATTTATGATCATTCTAATGATAAAAATGCCAAATTGTAATCACATAAATAAAATGTGATGGAAAGCTAAATCTTTCTAGAACACCTAGAAACTACTACCAGAAGATTTTTCTTTCCTTCACATCCAATTTATTTTTTTTCCTTCACTTTAATGGACAACTGCTATTGTTACTTAAATGTACTTGAATCAAACTTTTCAAATAATGTTTTTAAAGGAAGTTCCTTTATAAATATAGAGCTTTGCTAAGTTACCATTTTTTGTTTCCTCCATAAATACAAGTAGAAGAAGAATATGTCTTGGTCAACCGCTTGCTTTAATTTTCAGTAATATTATCCCAGTGTGGACTGTTGTATTTCAAGCTCTCTAATATAAATGAAACTCAATAGCATCATTTGGATTACAACTACATATTCAAAACAAGGAAAAAATCTAGAGAATGAAATCTCTTTTCTGGCTTAAATCCAAAATAGAAACAATTTACCACATCAGTATCAAACCAAACAGTGCAGCAATGTAGTGGCAAATTCGAGTTGATTAAGACTTAAGTTCAGAATGCAAACAATGCCATTATTGTAAAACAGGCAAAGAAGATTATATAGCTATGTACTAATTTCTGCATGGAATATAATGCGGAGTAAATTCACTTCCTTTTCAGGTTGTTGCATAATCAAAGTTTCCACTGGTCAGATTCTTGTTAATTGATGACAATGAAATCTCTCTCTAAATAAAAGTGAAATACCACTCACGCAGCATCATGAAATCTCCAGAACTGTGAAGCCTACAAACCTGAAATTTGGCACCTATGTTCCTCTTGGCTTCTAGGTGCTAAGAAAGGATTTTTCGAAATGACCATCCGATCATTAGTATTTCTTAATTCAGTAATTAACACACTCTGATGCTAAGGAGTTCTACTCCTCCTCCCCACCTGAAAAGAACTCTGTTCCAACTGCCAGTTGCCTCACATTCCGTCACCTCACGTTCCGTGACCTTAGTAATGACACAGCCATTTTCACAACTCAGGTGACCCGAGAATACAGACAAACCTCCATGTTGCCTCAACGATTCTCTAAAACGATGAAACTACACTTCCAAACAGGAAGCTACTTTGGCATCAAAGGTTGTAGTATTTTTATTACTCACCATCCAGTCAGAGCTGAAAAAGCTCCTTGGATGAGAAGCAAAACATCTTCAAAGAAAAACCAGAAAGTCCAGTTGCCTCCTGAAAAAAACACCTTTGGGACAGCAGTTGCAGGATTGTATTTTACAACACTTTTGCTGAATAGATAGATAGATAGATAGATAGATAGATAGATAGATAGATAGAT